GTTTTGCCTTTATTCCTTGTTTACCCACATCAACCCTTACCTAGCTTAGAGTAGGACTTTCCTATACCCTTGTTCTTAAAGTTTAGTGAGCATGACTTAAATGAATTCCTTTTGAGTTACATTATGCAAGAAAATGAGTGTGGGGGAGTAAAAGTTTGTTCTTACGTTTATATGTATGTTTTGAGATTTAAAAGAAAAAGAAGAAAAGAAAAAAAAAAAAAAAAAAAAAAAAAAAAAAAAAGGAGTGAAAATAAGTAAGAATGAACTCACGAGCGTTGATGGTTGAAGAAAGGGTCCAAAAAGTTGAATATGGCCCTAAGTTTTGTGTGATTTTCCCTTGGGTGTTCAAAGTTGACTTCTGCGTTCTTAAGGGAATTCTAAGTGCCTAATTCAATACTTTGCTCACTATTGCTTTAAGAATGTTTGTTTATCCTTCACCTTTCATTGTTAGCCAATACCCTAGCCCCGTTACTACCCTTTGACTTCTATATTGAGTGTTATGTATTTCAATTGTGGAGTTTGAACTTGGTATGAGCTTATGGTGTCACTGGTTCTCGCGTCTAAGTAGTAGCATTCCATTCATGAGATCATATCTAAACATGCTTATTAACTCCAGAAAATGCTTTCCTTATTATAACATATGTGAGTGTTCGTCTACATGTTTACATCAATCTTCTCACATATACCTAGTGTAGGGTGTGTAGTCAGAAAATCTGTGTGAAAAACGAGAGTACATCTAGTAAGAAATTGAGGGAATTCTCTAAAGGCATGTTACTACATTTGAAATGTGTTTTAATTGCTTAATTGTGAACTAGTATGTGGTGACTATGATTAAGAATGTACTTAAGTGTAAAGATGGCTCAAATCTGTGAGAATAATGATTTTTAACTTGTCATGTGCATTGGAAGTCCCTGATACGATTGTTGGAAGGTGTAGGTTGTGTTTTGTTCTTTTTGTTTTGTTTTTCTGTTTTGCTCGAGGACTAGCAAAAGCTAAGTGTGGGGGTATTTGATAGGAGCATATTTATGCGACTTAAATGGCTTGTTCTCGTACATTTACGTTATGTTTCTTTAGTTATTTTGGTACTTTAAGCTATTTTCGTGTGTTTGTAGGTCCAAAGGGCTAAAGGAGCAAAAAGATGCATTTTGGAGACTTTTGGAGCACTTTTGGGCTAAGGACGGATAGCTTATGCTTGAAGCCAAAGTGTTGGACGAAATTGAAGACCTAATTGGAGCCAAAGTGTTGGAACCTTGTTCTCTTTAGTTTTAGGACATTTAAATCTTTCCTAATCCCAATCATGCCATGCATAACACACATCCATTCTAACACATTGTCATTGCACATGCATTTCCTTCATTAGGTAACCCACATGCACTTATCACTTATCATCACCACATATCATATCACTTAACCACTTATCATATCATAACCACATATCATATCACTTATCACTTATCACTTAACATATCATCCACCTACTTCACCTACAACATCCACCTACTTCACCTACAACATCCACCTACTTCACCTACAAATGACATAGCCATATGTTCCCTCCACTACTCCTATAAATACCCTTGCATTCATTCATTCATGGAACATCTCATTTTCATACACAACACATTACAAACACATTCTCCCTTCCCTAGCCGTGAGCTTCCCATCTCTCCCCTTATAATCCAAACACCATTTTTCCATTCCACACTTCCATCCCCCAAACCAATTATCCCTAGACCTTATGCTATTGTGCCGCAACAAAGAAGGAGAAAGAAGAGAGGAGAAGCCTTGGACGTTTTGGCTATTCAAGCTTGGATTGTTGGAGCGTTTCTAGGTGTATTCAATCTTTGTTTTCAATGTTTAATTTATATTCTCTTTGTTTTGTTGTAAACATGAGGAGCTAAACTTGTTTTAGCTAGGGGAGACTTTGAAACCATGATTATATTTGCAATATGAATTGATTAATTCCAGTTGTGATTTCATAAATTGTGAATGCAATTTACTTAACCGTTTGATGGATAACTTATTCTTGTTTGTTGATTAAGGGTGCACACTTAGTTTGCATGCATGAATTTGGGGCTAGAATATAAGGGAGTTTCACATAATCGTTACAAACTTATATTCACAAGTAGTTAAGGTTGTTTTCACAATCATGTTAAGTAAATTCCTAGCATGAGTATCATGATGTCATAGTTACAAGTGCTTTGTCAATACTTATGATTTTCATAGAACGTAATGATCTTTGATTGTATCTCTATTATGATGTCATGTAGGGGACTTTTGAAGAATGCTTTGGGTTGTCGTATGATGTCATCCAATCCAATAACTTAAGGAAAATCTGAGGGTTAATTAGTGATGTCACGGTTAATCTAGGGTGTTGAGGTTCATGGTTTATCGAAAAGCAACTGGAAATCAATTTGTATGCAAGTGTGTCATGTGTGGAGAAGGACCCTCTAGCTAGCTAATCACCCATCCATATCCCCAAATTCCTCCAAAGTTTACTTAAGTCTTTTAGTTACTTGTTTTTCTTTTAAATTCGTCAAAAACCTAATCCCCTTTATTTAGTTGTGTCAAATCTGTCCTAATTGTGAGTTTGAGTGTTTTTGAGTCAAAACCAATTCTATTTTCGTCCAAGTCAAGTCCTAGAGTCTAAATTGAGTCTTTTTTTATTGTTTTGAGTTGTTTTGAGTCTTTTAAGTTTGTTTTGAGTCATACAAGTTTAGTTAAGAGTCTTTTGATTTTGTTTACGTGTTTTGAAGTATATTTTTACATCTTTGAGTCAGTTTTCATTAGATTAGCAATCCCTCCTAATCCCCGGCCAAGAACGATCCCTACTTATAACTATACTACAATTGTCAAACGAGGGTTTAATTTGTGCGCGTATAAATCTCGCATCAGAGCCCGACGTCCTCGTCGGCACACCACGACCGTGAGTCTGGCTCTGATACCAAATTGTCACATCCCGCCCTCCCTCGCAGAGATATTGTCCGCTTTGGCATTCCCTGCCCTGGACTAGGTCGCAGACAGCAGGGCTACCGCACGGTTTTGTCTTTGCAAGCCGCAGCTCCAAAAGGCCTCTCTGAAAGGTACATGCAGGCATGGACATATAAGGCCCAAAGACCACGCCCTCACGGGCGATGTGGGATACTACACTTTTGCATTTGCCGTATCGTATATATGTCGTCAAAGTTTTCCTTTTGAATTTGGATACCTCTGTGTTTTCCAATTGAATTGGCATACTTGTGACTTCTAAATCAGCAAAAAGGATTTGTGCAACATATCCTTATTTTTATTGCTTATTTGAATTTGGCCAACATATGTTAAGAAACACAAAACTCACCTACAAATTTTTTTAAGCAAATCAAACAATCCTTTCCTTTTTTGTTGTTTCATTGACGTGTGCATTTTAGAACGCTTGGAATGAATCAACAGAACCTTGGCACGAGAGCCAGTTAAAATACCACGTCTGTGATGCATTATGAAAATTATATGCGGTTTTATAATTTCGTATGTATGCATATGTTAAAGGTTATTTTGGAAATAACAGTGAGTGGGGAAATGACATTTTAATTTTTTAACTTTTTAAGGTGGGTGGGATTATAACATGGGTGGAGAAATATGACAATGTGGTGGGTCTAGTAGCTCTATTAATTAAAAAAGTTGTCTAAATACCTATTTGTACAATGGAATTTTTTTTCTTATAGTAGGGCCTACTCCAAAGATAGCTCATTTCCATCAATTCTAAAAAGCACAAGACTTAACCAAGGCCTAAGAGGGGGTGTGAAAATAGTTTTCAACCAACAATGAACGCACCTCAGTTATAACTTCATTATCTCAAGGCAAACATCGCCGTTCTTTGCATCACCAGACATCAGGGAAGCGCCGAACAAGCTCTCCAAGATTAAGGTTGTGAGGATGTTGATCGCCTAAATGTTAACGGTAATGTTCCAAAAGTCGTTGACAATGGGCCAAGCTGTCACCAAAGGTGATCTCGATCCAGGTTCAATTCGGTGAAGGGTGTCGAAGTGTGTAAAGATGGGGTGTATTAATATTTTTTTTATTAGAGAATAGAGAGTGAAGGATGTATAGAAATGTAGACTGCGATCGGAGGTGATTGTAGGACTGGGTTTTTGGGTTGACTATTTTTTTTATTAACTATTAAATTGTTAAGCCTATTTGTATTTTTTTTTAATTTAATTAGACTTGTGTGTCCTATTTATGTATCGCATCAGGACATAACAGAATTTTTGGTAGAATTGTGACGGAATTACTACATTGATTTGAGACACTTACTTGAGGGATTACATGGATCAACTTTTAATTTCATGGATCATTTTGATGTCATGGGTTAATTTCAAGAACTATTTGTGAGAGAAAAAGACTTATGAGACCCATTTGTTTGCAATATAAGTACTTAACAGATTTTTTTAACAGAATTATGACGAAATAACCACATTAATTTGCGACACCTATTTTCAGGAACTATATTGATTGATTTTCAATTTTAGATACTATCTTGATGATGAGAATCAATTTCATGAATCATTTGTGATAAAAATCCTACATTTTATGTTTTAAAATTTTTGTTGAGGTCCTCTCTGACACCACCCATTACTGTCCTTCAATGCCTCCCAAAAAGCCTGGGTTTTAACATTTCTGACGAAAAAGAAAAAAAAGCCATCGATTCATTACCATTTCTATGGATGTTTTATGTGATAAATTTTAGTAATTTGTAAGTTGAGAGAGGACATCAGCAATTCGGAGGATTTACAGACTGCGTACACTGCTGCAGTGACTGCACAAATAATATTTTGAGTTATTGACATTCTTATTCATTAACACAATGTTATACCAAGGACTCGCGTATTATTGTGGTAGAATATTAGACGAAAACGTCACGTAACGCCGGTAACGCTATACACTCGAAACCTGAACACCCTTTTCATATAATACTTTATTGAATGAATCTTTTTATTGTTTTCCTTTTTCCATCAAATTGATTGAATGAATCTTAAGCTTTAGCTGAACAAGTCACATTCTTGGGTTTCACTCTCAAACTTTCTTTATCAATCTTTAGAGTGAAAAAAAAAGAGGTGGCACTTTCGTACAAGCCACGGTCACCCCCACCAGCATTATCTGTCGCTCTGTGTTCTCTATCTCAGCCTCCTACTTCGCTGCTGTAAATGCAGCTGGGTTTTAGTTTTACTGTATTATCTCATGGGGAAGAAGGGAGGCACTTCCTGGTTGACTGCTGTCAAAAGGGCTTTCAGATCTCCCACTAAAGACGACGAAGATCGAAAGGTCCATTCTTCTTGTTTAAAACCCAAAATCTGTTCACTTTCTCTGTTTTTTGCATCTCTGTTTTTGTTACTGGGCAGCAAATCCAGATAATGTGAATATACCTTTGTTTTTCTGGGGTTCGTGCAGAAAAGAGAGAAGCGAAGGTGGATTTTCAGAAAACCCACAAATTTTAACCAACAAGAAACCGTGACCCAAGAAGCAGCTGCGGAGCAAAAGCATATTTCAGCAGCTGCGGAGCAAAAGCATGTTTCAGCAGCTGCAGAGCAAAAGCACATGCTTGCTGTGGCGGTGGCCACGGCGGAGGCGGCAAAGGCTACCTCCCACGCAGCCGCTGAGGTAGCTCGGCTGACTAGGCCTTCCAATCATGCCAGAGAACACTACTACGCCATTGTTATCCAGACAGCTTTCAGAGGATACTTGGTAGGTTTACAGCATTTAATATGACTAGATCTAAACTTCTGTTTGGTTGCTGGGAAAGTTAAACGAGAAAATGGGAAACTGGGTTTTGATTGTTGTGTGATTTTGTTTGTGGTTTAGGCAAGGAGGGCGCTTCGTGCGCTTAAAGGGCTTGTGAAGTTGCAGGCCTTGGTGAGAGGCCACAATGTGAGGAAGCAAGCAAAGATGACGCTTAAGTGCATGCAGGCTCTGGTTCGGGTGCAGGCTCGGGTGCTCGATCAGCGCACCAGGCTTTCTCACGAAGGCAGCAGACAGTCTGCGTTTAGTGACACCACTAGTAGCGTTTGGGAATCGCGGTATCTTCAAGACATATCGGATAGGAAATCCATGGTGAGTTAGATTCATTCCCGAATAGCAACAATGTTTAATTCTGAAATGCTAATCGACGATGATTTAAGTCTTTTTCCTGCTTTTGACATTGAAAATTGCAAAGCGGAAAGAAAGGAATTGGCCGATAACTATTTCGTTTTAGTTTTAAGTTGTCGTGTGAATGTGTTAGATATGAAAATTGAAAACCAAAAATAAAAAATGGGAACTCTTTTAAGAAAGAAAGAAACTTTGTGCCCTAGTTCAACTTCAAGTCCCGCTCCGTACATATTAGAGTAGTTTACAATATTCCCTTGTCGAACAAAAATTTGTAAGCAATGTTACTCAAAGATACCTAGTGAAAGTAGTTTTTATTTCTTTTACAATGTTAGTGGAACATGGATTTCTTGCCCTCTCTTGCTTTCACTTACAAGAAAGAAAGAAAGAAACAGAGTAGTTCAAGTAATTGAATTTGTGTGCTATTGTGCGTAGCAGTCTAGAGAGGGAAGTAGCATAGCAGATGATTGGGATGAACGTCCTCACACCATTGAGGAAGTAAAAGCCATGTTGCAGCAACGGAAAGAAGCTGCAATGAAGAGTGAGAAATCGTTGTCCCAAGCCTTTTCTCAACAGGTCTGTTATCCACTTGAATCCATAGTAGCTCTGTTATTTCTTTTTTTCTTTTTCTCAATGGTTTCATTTCATTCATGAGCTAATTGGTCTCAATTTTCTGCGTGATTGAAGCTATGGAGGAACAGAAGGACCCCGTCTATGGGAAATGAGGATGAGCTTGAAGAGAGACCGGAATGGCTCGCGCCAAAGCCATGGGAGACCAGAGGAAGACCTTCAACTGACCGGAGAGACCCCATTAAAACAGTCGAAATCGACACCCCTCAGCCTTATGTTAATTTACCACCAAACTACAGAAGATCAAGTGCAAGCCAATACCACCAACACCAACACCAACAACAAAGACCCAGTTCACCAAAACAAAGACCTGGCTCACCAAAACAAAGACCCAGCTCACCACTCCATAGAGATCGAGCCTACCAAAACCAACCCCTTCATCATTGTTGAGAGTTGTCCCACATCGGTGAGGGACAAGGTTTGCTATGTGCTTATATGGTCTTGGGCTACTCCCCATATTGCCAATTGGTTTTATGGTGGAACCTCAATTTCATCATGGTATCAGAGCGGGTTGTCCTCGTGTGAAGCCAAACGGCCACACGCGCTCCACGTCACCCAGTTGTTGTCCACGTGTAGGCTTGAAAATCCGCCACACGTGCGGGGGCGTGTTGAGAGTTGTCCCACATCGGTGAGGGACAAGGTTTGCTATGTGCTTATATGGTCTTGGGCTACTCCCCATATTGCCAATTGATTTTATGGTGGAACCTCAATTTCATCATGGTATCAGAGCGGGTTGTCCTCGTGTGAAGCCAAACGGCCACACGCGCTCCACGTCACCCAGTTGTTGTCCACGTGTAGGCTTGAAAATCCGCCACACGTGCGGGGGCGTGTTGAGAGTTGTCCCACATCGGTGAGGGACAAGGTTTGCTATGTGCTTATATGATCTTGGGCTACTCCTCATATAGCCAATTGGTTTTATGGTGGAACCTCAATTTCATCAATCATCACTCCCCTATCACACCCTCACCATCAAAAACCCAGCCTTTCCTAGTCCGGTCTGCAAGCCCTCGTTGCGTTAGAGAAGATAGAAGCTCCAATGCATCTCAAACTCCAAGCCTTAGGTCCAACTATTTCTACACTGGTGCTGTGCACCAACAACATAGCAGCAGGGCGGGTCGTACAAGTAATAGTAGCATTGCCAATTCTGGTGCTGCGTTGCCTAATTACATGGCTGCAACCGAGTCTGCCAAGGCTCGGATACGCTCTCAGAGCGCACCACGGCAAAGGCCATCTACACCAGACCGGGAACGAGCAGCTGGATCAGCAAAGAAAAGGCTCTCGTTTCCAGCTCCTGATCCTTACGGCCTGGCAATGGGGTATGGAGGTTATGGATACAGCTTGAGGAGTCCAAGCTTTAAGAGTGTGAGTGCATCGCATTTCGGCGTGGAGCAACAGTCTAACTATTCTTGTTGCACTGAGAGTCATGGTGGTGAGATTTCCCCTTCTTCAACTAGTGACCTTAGAAGGTGGTTGAGGTGATTAATGGCTGAAACTGAAAGGGGGATTGTGAGCTATAACTTGTCACAATCTTTTATTCTGATTTGACCATTAAATAATGTTCTAGAGGCAATTGGGATGTAATTTTAGGGAGCAGTGAGTATTTGGGTAGGTAGTAGAAAGGATCTGATTGAAGGGTTTTTCCTTTCTAAGAGCAACTCCAGCCTATCAAAGGCCCCCTAGGGCAACTTACTATTGAATCCCCTTAATGAACAGTAACCATCTTTAATGAACAGTAACTGTCTTTTGTATCTTCACCCCAAACTGAATAGCTATGATAATAGGCAATAAAATATTAGTATTTTTTATTTTATAAAATAATACAAAATAATTTTATTTGTAATTTTGGATAAGATTTTTAATCATTCTCCTTGCGCTACGGGTCATTATCCGAAAAGACAATTTTTAGTGATAGATTTTGATAAAATTTTTATCCAATGTCGTCGTACCATGTGTTTTTATCTTTTCAGAATCATTGATGATAAATTTCCGATAAGATTTTTAACCAATCACTTCGCGCCACGTGTCACAATCTATTTACAATATTTGAGGATAGATTTCGATCAGATTTTTAATGAATGACTGCATGCCACGTGGCATTATTTACAACCTAATCCTTTTTTTTCCTCCATAAAACCCACCATCCATCCTAAGAAATCACACACCAAAATCAAAATCTCTATCATTATTCATAGTTTCTACTTCCTTCTTACAATGTCTTCTTCAAGGAAGTCTTGGGAAATCGATGAGCAATAGAAATAATTGTTTAAGCAAGGGGAAGAAATGTTCAATCTCCAGGTGGGCGAAAATTAGACGGAAGAGGAATACGATGAGGAGCATAGAAGAAGAGATGACGAAGCAAGAAGCCAAAGAGCCTCACATTCCCGTCGAGTCATCCAAGTTGTGGCTCAAATCTCCAGGCCCAGCCGTTCCGTAAACATTGATAAAAGCAGGCAACGGTGAGGTACAAATCTCTTGGACGATTATTTTGTCCGTAACAGTGCATTCCCTGATACGTACTTTAGACGACGTTTTAGAATGGAACGACATTTGTTCAACAAAATCATGATTGCTGTTTGCAACCATGATTCTTACTTTGTGCAAAAGAAGGATGCTTTTGGTGTCATTCCTGAACAAAAAATTATTGCTGCCTTGCGGATGTTTGCATATGGAGCATCTGCAAACCAAGTGGATGATATAGCGAGGATGGGGAAATTAACCATTCTTGAGTCCTTGATGAGGTTTTGCTCCACAATCAAATCTATCTACACCACAGAGTACCTCCGGAGACCTACTGAGATGGACTTGCAAAAGCTTCTGAAGAAGGGCGAGATGTGAGGTTTTCCTGGGATAATTGGAAGCATTGACTGTATGCACTAGACCTGGAAAAACTGTCCAAGTGCATGGCAAAAAGCTTATGGGGACAGAAAATAAGCAAAAAGTATCATTTTGCAAGCGGTGGCATCATTTGACACATGGATTTGACACGCTTTTTTCGATGTTCAATGTCCTTTCCCAATCCCTAGTGTTCAACGATGTCCTGCAAGGAAAAACACTAAGAGTCATATATTGAGTCAACGAACATAAGTACCACGGACCATACTACCTACCAGACGACATTTACCCAAGGTGGTCATCGTTTATCAAAACAGTGCCACATCCTCGAAGTGCAAAGAAAAAACACTTTGCAAGCTGTTAAGAGGGGTATAGGAAGGATGTGGAGCGTTATTTTGGTATCCTCCAAGCTCATTAGGCGACTGTCAAGGGTGCTGCTAGAATATTTGATTTAGAGTCGCTTCGATCCATCATGATGACGTGCATCATTCTTCACAAGCGCAGCAATAGGAGCGTGCTGATAACCTGTTGTAGCCTATTTTATCTGACTAAAGGTTAAGGGCCAGCGGCAAGGGAAGAGAGAGAGGAAAGATGTGTTTGTAGAATCATAGGGGAATATGTGTGTTGAGGATATGTTATCCCCCTACGTAGTGCCTTTATTCATAGTAGTAAAAAGGGAGAAGAAATCCTTCATCCCCAAGAAATACAAGTCCATATAGGAAAGAATAACTAGAATCAAATCAAATCTAAGATTTACACAATCACATTTAAACTAGGAAAGTTCATAACAACAAGGAAATAAGTATTTATAATAAGACTACATTGTAAGCCTAGCAAAACAAACAAAACTTCCCTTTTGAGCTTTTTGTTGCAGCCCCCTTTTTTTTACCAAAAAAAAAAAAAACTCTTCCCTCTTGAGCTTTTTGCTTCAACCCCTTTGAAATATGATGCTTTTTTCCCCCTTATTTGGTGGCTGAACAACAAACAATGAGAATGAATATGCTTATAAAACCCCACCGCCTTTGCCATAGTCATGTAAATAAGTTGAGTTATTGTATGATGGCATGAGTTCAAACTCCGTCAGTGGTTAATTTTACATTTAATCTAACAAAATTTATCGTTTGACAAAAAAAAAGGTATAAAGGAAAATTAAAAAATAAAAACTTAATTTCCTAACTCTAATTTCTTTTGAAATTCCATATTAATAAAATAAATGGGCGTTTTGATATAGGTGTTTGAGTTTTTAACTTTATAGACTAAACATCTATTGCTTTTAAATATTTTATTAAACACTTTCCCTACAATTTGGGAGTCTCATCCATCATAACTATTAGTTATTCATACCAAAATTACAGATCTTACAACTACCTAAATTCTTCACATCAAGATAAAAGTGCAAAGATATTGAAACAAATTTCCCACAATCTAGCTCCTTTGATTCCTTTTAAAGATAAATATATGAAAAAAAAAATGATTATATACAATTTTTTAGGAAATAAAATACCTTGCCGTTTGATTTTTGTTTTCCTTTGAATGAAGAAATAACAATACCATTTAAGATATTTGATCAAACAAAAAATTTAAATATAAACTGTAACCGTTCCCTAATTTTACGATTTTATTAATTTTAAAGAAGTGAATTACGAAAATACCCCTAGAGGTGAGATTGTTGACTTTCGTTGACTGACATTTCGTGACGTGTATGACCTATTATTTTACTGTATTCTCGAAGTACTTACGATACGAACGCGTAGGCGCAAACATAATCGAATTTGGAGCTACGATGAAGGTTTTATGAAACTACAAATCTGGAAAATACTTTTGTAAAAATTACGATTTTGTTGTAAACTTCTTATTTAAGTGTGATTATGTAAATCCTAGATTAAATTTGATTCTAGTTATTTTACCCTATTAGGACTTGTAGTCCTTGGAGGAGAAGGATTTCTTCTCTCTCTTATTACTATGAATAAAGGCACTGCTTAGGGGGAATAACACATCATCTACATAACCCTACAAACACATATCTCTCTCTATTCTCTCTTTGTGCCGTCGGCCCTCTCTCTCCCTATCAGTTAAACATAGGTCACAACTCATTATCAGCACACTCTTATTGCTGCGCTTAGGAATTTGACGTGGAAGTTTTATACATCAAACCAGTTCATCAATATCATCATGCAATCAGGTTCTTTCAAAACAACGGTTTTCATCTCGATATTTTTGCAGCCCTGATCGCATGAACATTCACCATAATGCATGACCCAACTTTGCGTTCTTTGAATTTTAGATTCTACATAAATTGTGTATGCATTATATCCATAATTGTTGAATTATGTGAATTGATATTACCATGAATTGCATCAAATATATGTCCATGCATTGAATTATTTAATTGAATATGTATGCAATTGCATTAATTTATAACCTAGAAATTAAGAAAAAGATTATTAAAATTAGAGTTTCTCAAAATCCATCCCATTATCATCGCAAGCCACTGGCTAGCCCAGCAACACCGCACCGAGTCGCGAGACCACCAGAGCCATGGGCTCTAGGTTCAAACCCAAAAACCCCGACGCCCTCCATGGAGACCCCATTCATTGTAGGTTGGCCTACAACCAATCCTTGCACACGGGTCAACATTTTTTACGACCTGGAGCACGTCCTCAACAACGCTTGATCGAGATTCTATTGAATCTCATTGGATTTTTCAATTTTCCGATTCGAATTACTAAGGTTTTGGTTGAAACGTTGAGATTTCTCCATCTTCGTTCATAATCATGATCCCTATTGATTCACGAACTCGCCCCGAGAATTTTTTTTCCCAAAACATGGTCACCTAAAGCTGTGGCGCCGATCTTCTTCCCCGACAAACACACCCAGCGACGACTAGGGTGTTTTTGGTCCCAACCCGAGCCCAATTGAGCCTTGGTTTTCTCGGCCTAAATATATTTTTTTTCCTTTTTAGCTCACCTGAAGTGGCCCAAACCATTAACTCGGCCTAATTCGACACTAGTCCATAGGGCTATGGTATTCCCCGTGCATAAAACCGCACCAAATCCCTGCCCATATCTGGTGAGTCGGTGCACCTGCACCGTGACACACTTGATCACATCTGCATAGCTATGGTGCTCCCATGTACTGTGACGTACATGAATGCGTCCCCTAGGTAAATGTGTCCGCAACGCACCAGATTAGAGCTTTTTTTGGGTCTTTGGTTTTGGCCCAACACAACCCAATTTCTTTGGGCCTAGACCTTACGGTTTCATTTTTCCCAGCCCATCTATGGGCTTTGGTCCATGTTTTTTCGACAATTTGGGTTTTATAATTTTTTCACCCACACTTTAAATTTGGCCCGAAGCCCAAATAATTAATTCAATTATAATTCTAGACCTGAAGTTCTATTTGCATATTTTCTTGTTGCATATTTATGTACATATATTTGTGTTTCTCTGTAGGAACACATGAACCTGAAGTTCATCATTCCTTTGAAACCTGAAGTTTCTAGAAACATGCCTTATTTGAAAACCTAAAGTTTTCCTTAAAAAAACATCACCCATGAAAACCCGAAGTTTTTTCATGTAAATTTAAACCAATACATATCTATTAGAACCTGAATGTTCTACTCCTATGTGAATGGATTGATTTTTTCTCCATTACACTAACCACATCTTGTCTATTTATTTTGTGATAGGAACATGTCGAATTTGAAGAAACACTTCACCTCTTTCTAGGTCTATGGAAGAAACTACTTCAAGTGGGTCCAAGATGTGAAGCTCCACTTCATTGCAAAGAATTTGTGTCCCGCCATTGAAGATGAGACGGACAACCCGGTTGCTGAAGCTGAGAAAGCCACTACGACGATCTTCATTCGAAGACACATTCGTAATGCACAGCGAACCGAGTACCTTGCTGAGAAAGATCCATG